AATATAAGAGAGAGAGAGAGAGAGAGAGAGAGACATCAAATAAAAATGTCGATGTGTACGTTGTGTTACGCTTTCGTTATACATGTAAACCCGTTTCTAGAGTTTATGCAACCGTTTACATTTTCCGCACATTACACTTTTAATATTCCGAGACAAGAGGCTCGAGAAATCGAGAGATCAAGGGGAACCTAGTTTGAACCTTCAGTTTGTATTACCTTAAGATAATTTCAACCGCATACTTTTTGTTACAATGTAACTTCTAAATAAATAAATTTGAGCAGCGTAAGCAACTTCCTCTTTTCTTCGTCTGACTTTTCTCACGACACCGAGAACGGGGGGGGGGGGGAATGAATGATGAGATGAGAACGTATTTATGAACTGGGTAGCATACGACGAAAGTGTACACAGATGACAGGTGCGTACGGTCTCTGTAGTGATCCTCTGCGGAAGACACGCGCGATTTAACTGTATAAAATCGTCTGAGCGTAACAATGGAGTGTATGTCAAATTGCATAAATTCTAGTTCCATAGAATCGTAGGTGCCTAAAGTCAACAATGATCCGAGTAAGATCGTTAAGGGTGAAGGGTCTATTCACTCACAGAGAGAGAGAGAGAGACTTCTTTTTAGACACTTTTCTATCCCGGGAATTCTTTTTGAAAGTTCTTTTTCACGCAATAAAATATTGTCTCTCCCGAGGTGATTTTATTTTTTTTTTTTTTTTTTTTTTTTATTAGATTTTCGACGAACGAGACGAAGAAGGAGTACTTTGCGCAAACGAGAAAAAAAAATAAATTAAGAAATTCGAGAACGAGCGGACAATTACTTAAAGGCAACACCCTAAAATTAAATAGGACCAAATTAGAAACAAAATGATGATTTGTATACGTGTCCTTCCTCGAGGGAGGCTGGGATCAATCGGTGACGGCTTTTCGAAAAATCCGAGTACAGAATCTTCTTATTCGATTCCAAAACTCCCTCGGACCATTCACTCGAGGCAGTAACGAGATGAAACTGAATATTCATAGGTGCTGGATACTGGAACGCTATTTGATATTTTAAGGTGCCTTCGCTCTGTTCGTTGCAGTAAAGCTGTACCGGTAACCACCGTTCATTTATCCGAGCTGTAAAAATAAATCTTGATTTTCACGTGCATGCGTGCGTGCGCGCGCGCGCGCGCGCGCACGCGTGCACGTGTGTGTGTGTGTATGGATATGTAAAAGTAGAGCGTGTAAATTTTAATTCGGCAACGACGAACGTATTGATGTGTTGCTTTCGTTCCCAAATATTTCATCGCGCACGTAAACTCTTCAGAAATAGAGAGGGAGAAAGAGAGAGAGAGAGAGAGAGAGAGAGAGGAGGGAGGGGGGAGGG